GGACCGGTTGGGACCGGTTGGGACCGGTTGGGACCGGGACCGGGACCGGCGGCCTATAACCGGTTATAAAGTACCTATACCGGTCCTATCATTTTCGACCGGGACCGGGACCGGGACCGAGACCGGGACCGGTTACGCCGGGACCGGTTATGGCCGGTTATGAGAATGGTGAGGACCGATTGGGACCGGCCCGGGACCGATTGGGACCGGCCCGGGACCGGCCCGGGACCGGTTTTTGGCCATCTCTACAGTGCCAAATATCGTGCACCTTGACATTTTCCCCCTTCCCTTTTGCTACCCGCTTATTCACCTTCATAGTGAACTCACCATCACCCAATCTCTCGTCGCCGGATTCCTCCGTTTGCCGTCCACCTTCGCCGTAGCAGGTAAGCAACTTCATTTCCTATTTCTATCGTTAAACCTTGTCTGTTGATTTGAATGCAAGAATGACCAAAAGAGAGTGAAAATAGTGGCATCATCTGCTCTTGTATATGCAAGTGGAGAGAAGTAAATAACTATTGTTTCAATCAGGTAAGTGGCCACATACATTTTAAGATGAAATAGATGAAGAAAATCTTTTCGAATGTATCATTAGACTTCATAAATGATGTCTTCTTCATTCCCTCATAAGAGCTTTGGATAACACCAGCAAGTTCACCTGTTTCTTTATCACTGGGAACAACAGTCGATGCTACACTAATTGCTCCTTCAACAAAACATTCAAACCAGACATAAATTGCTCCTTCAAATCGAAATTGTAGGCTTCAAATCGAGATGCCATCACAATGTAAACTGATGATAGGGCGATATTTATTAAGTAGGAATTAGCGCTAGCTATGCTATGTACATTTGGATCAAATACAACTTTGTTTAATTAGAATTTGACATAATTAAAGTAAAAGATTTGATTTTAAAAAGGTATTTGAACTTATTTTGGTTAATCCATGGAAAATGTAAAAGATAAGTATCGATTTAAATTTTTTTGGTTATTTATCACACAACAGGTTGATTTGGGAAATTGGTTTTACGACCTCTTGAACTTTCTGTTTTTGGGTAAGAATTGATATATTTGTGTATGCGCAGAACGGCAGAAGAACAACCAACTGTTCTGGAATTCAAGGTGAAAGAGCGAAATAAGAGAAAACCCCGATGGGTTCACAGGTGCTAATTGCATCACTCTCCACGACACCTCAATCTTCCATAGCATCATCATCTTCTCGCATCCAACACACACTGGCTCAAAGAAACCACATACCGGCTCATGTTTACAAACACCCAGCAGCGATTCTCCTAGAACTCTGCACTTCCATGGAAGAACTTCACCAAATCATCCCTCTCATTGTCAAAAACGGTCTCTATGAAGAACATCTATTTCAGACGAAGCTAGTCAGCTTGTTCTGCAGATATGGCAGCTTAACTGAAGCCACCCGTGTTTTTGATTCAATTGAAGATAAAAATGATGCTGTTTATCACACAATGCTTAAAGGCTATGCGCAAAATTCTTCGATTTTTGATGGATTTTCGTTCTTTTGTCGTATGATGGATGACGGCGTGCAGCCTGTGGTGTATAACTTTACATATTTGTTGAAGGGTTGTGGTGAGAGTTGTCTTGTTAGGAAGGGGAAAGAAGTTCATGCGCAGTTGATTTTGAATGGTCATGGGGGGGATGTTTATGCCATGACGTGTATTGTTAATATGTATGCGAAGTGTAGGTTGATTGATGATGCATACAAGGTGTTTGTTAGATTTCCCGAGAGGGATTTGGTGTGTTGGAATACCATTATCGCAGGATATGCTCAAAATGGTTTGGCAGGGAGAGCAATAGAATTGGTGTCACAAATGCAAGGGGAAGGACTGAGGCCAGATCCTATCACGATTATTTCGGTATTGCCTGCTGTTGGTAATATTGGTCATTTGAGGGTTGGAAAATCTATTCATGGTTATGTTTTTAGGTGCGGATATGAACGCCATGCAAATGTTTCGACTGCATTAGTTGATATGTATTTGAAATGTGGGTCTTTATGCATCGGACGTGTTATATTTGACAAGATGTGTGGTAGAAATGTGGTCTCATGGAACATAATGATCGATGGCTATGCGCAAAATGGTGATTCTGCAGAAGCACTGATGCTTTTTGAGAAGATGTTGGATGATGGAGTTAAACCAACCGGTGTGACTATAATGGCAGCACTCCATGCTTGTGCTGATTCGGTTGATCTAGAACGGGGGCAATTCATTCATCGATTGGTCAACGAACTAGGACTACACCCTGATGTTTCGGTCATGAACTCTCTGATCTCTATGTATTGCAAGTGTAAACGGGTTGATATTGCTGCTGAAATATTTAAAAACTTGAAAGGAAGAACCCTTGTCTCATGGAATGCCATGATACTTGGATATGCACAAAATGGTCGAGTAATTGATGCTTTGAATCATTTTCGTCACATGAAATTGCAAAACATCGAACCTGATTCATTCACCATGGTGAGCATCATTGCAGCTGTTTCTGAGTTATCAATTTTATGCCAAGGGAAGTGGATCCATGGACTTGTTACTAGAACTTGTTTGGACGGAAATGTCTTTGTCAAGACGGCTCTTGTGGATATGTATGCTAAATGTGGAGCTATTAGTACGGCTAGAAAGTTATTTGACCTGATGGATGAAAGGCACGTAACCACATGGAATGCTATGATCGATGGATATGGGACACATGGATGTGGAAGGGATGCCATTGAATTGTTCAGAGAAATGGAAAATGGAGATGTAAAGCCAAACAATATAACATTTCTGTGTATTATCTCAGCATGCAGTCATTCAGGCTTTGTCGAAGAGGGGATTCGATATTTTTCCATCATGAAGGAAAAATATGGGATTGAGTCTACAATGGATCACTATGGAGCCATGGTGGACTTGCTTGGCAGATCAGGCAGGCTTAATGAAGCATGGAATTTCATTCTAAACATGCCTGTTGAGCCAGAGATCAACGTTTTTGGTGCAATGTTGGGTGCTTCCAAGATTCATAAAAATGTTGAATTGGGGGAAATGGCAGCAAACAGACTGTTCAAGTTAAATCCCAACGATGGCGGGTATTATGTATTGCTTGCAAATATGTATGCTTCAGCTTCAATGTGGGATAAAGTGACTGAAATCAGGACTAAAATGGAAATAAGAGGTATAAGGAAAACCCCTGGATATAGTTCTGTTGATTTGGGAAATGAAGTTCATACTTTCTATTCTGGCAGCTCGTGGCATTCTCATTCGAAGAAGATTTACGCTTTTCTTGAAACACTGATCGATAGGATTAAGGCTGCTGGTTATGTATCTGATACGGATTCAATACATGATGTAGAAGATGATCTACAAGAACAAATGGTCAATACCCATAGTGAGAAGCTTGCTATTGCTTTTGGACTTCTGAATACCCGTCCAGGTACACCTATTCACATAAGAAAAAATCTTCGTGTATGTGGTGATTGTCATACCGCAACAAAATTCATATCGCTTGTGGAGCAGCGAGAAATTGTAGTCCGTGATTTGCACCGGTTCCACCATTTCAAGAATGGGACTTGTTCTTGTGGAGATTATTGGTGACTTGGTGTCTGTAAATTGTTCAATATACGCACTTCTGAAATAACAACTCATGCTTGAGGACCCATATGTGGTCAGAAATTCAGAATGAATACTGAGGTATTTCCCTTCATTCCTGTAATTAATCATTTTCATTACATATTCATGTGTTGCATGAACTGAAAAATAGTTTTTGTTAGATATTGTACATAGTTAGATAATTAGAGTTTTGCTTTCAAGAAATCTAAAGTGTAGCTTCCTAATATAGGTTACCTTTTCTATATAAATGTTTGTAATCTCTTATAATGAAATGCAAGATATATATCTTTCTTGATCAACTTCCATGGTATCAGAGCCAGTCATCTTCTTCTAAGCTCCGCTGGACGACACGGCATTCTCGTTTAAATAAATAGATGTCGGCCGTACTTGTGAATCCCTGCCCTGTTTTCCACATCGGCAATGCACCTCCATCGATATTCAATTTATTTTCATGCTCATATAACTGCAAAATGACACTTGACCTATTCGAAACAAGAGATCAAAGTGATCTTCCTCCTTTTTCCCAATAAGTCGACGGCCTTACACCATTGGGAGACTTCGAAGAATTGCCTCAACAAAAATAGATGGAATTGGGCCTAAAAAAGTGCCCTATCTCATCATCCTGGAATGACCAAATAGCATACCTCTCCGGTGACTGGACCCTATCCAATTTGATTTGATATTTTCTTCTGTTTTTTTTTTCTTTCAGGGCAAGCATCAAAACTAACAACTCTAACAAGTTTCTATTCCCTCTTTAAACCAAACCAAATCTTTTTAGTTTGTTTTTCCAAAAAAAAAAAAAAACTTTTTACTCTGTACTGGTGATCAAGTAGGTTTTTATTAAAGGTATAATTGGAGAAAAAAGACGTGCTTTTTATCTTTCCAGTTTTGTTTTTTTTAGTATATGCTTAGTCAAAGAGGACATTTATAAGCATATGGCTGGTGGCTTAATCATTTAGCATTTGTCTTTGTGGCAGTGAGTGTAGTATATTAGAAAATTTTCATCCTCTACATATTCTTTAGAGTTTGTCGTTGTTATGTTTTTCTTGTACTTGCTCCATGTTTTATCTTTTTGAATGTTGTTGCTTACTTCTAACCCGTCTTTCAAAATTTTACAATGTTTTCAAGTTCATTATGATATGTGTTTTTTCCTTGCACACTTTGCACAAGCCGGGGTCTTCACAGAAACAACTACTCTACTCTTGTGAGGTCTGCATACATCCCCCCTCCCCCAAAAAAAAGACCCCACCTCCTGGTGGGATATACTGCGCTCATTTGGTCATTCAGAAGAAGGTCATGAAACATCTAAGGCATTTCCTTGTTATCATCTAACTGGTGACATGCAACTATGCAGTCCCCAGTACATTATCCTCTATCTGCAGTCCAATATTCTTCCTTTTATCTCATCAGTCTTCTAGTTATAAATAATACATCTTCTAAACATTACCAAGGCTAAGAAGACATTCTTATTTTACTTTCATTTGTTTCTGTTACACCAAAGTGCTGTAAGATCACAGATAACTGTACCCTATGATGTCTAACAACTGTATAAAGCAACTGAAGATACTGCAGCACTTCATTTTGCATGAGAAGTGGACACCTGGAAGGTCTTTTGCTGCTTCCTTAATTATGAGATGGACAATTCATTACTCCCTCTATTATCAAGGTAAAATTGTCATTTAGATAATTAAAAATATAATAGTTACACATTTCTAAAACTGTGTCCCTTTCTCATTGTGGACATTTATTATATGTTGACAAAACTCCAATTTGTCAGACAGGCTTCTGTATTTGTGCAATCTCATGGTGCTGATGTAGGGCTGATATAGCTGCTGAGTTCTTCTGCACCTTTTAGTTGGCTGAACAGAACGATTCAGTTCAAAAGAGAATTCACGAAATGTGGCGCGTCTTCATTGCATGCAACTCAATCTCTACAATTCATCATTTGGTCATTTCCAAATTCCAAATGAACTCAGGCATAGATTCTCTATGTTTCCCTTAGATGGTTTCCAAAATAAAGAGTGATGAAAATAAAATGCAGCATCTGCTTGGGAAGTCTTGCTCTATTTTCCTTTCACTAATAGCCTTCCCCTGCATTTTGCTATTCTTCAATTCAAATTGATCTTTTGAAGTTAATAACGATTCTTTTGTTTTTGTCCAAAGGGCGATGATGCACTTTTGACCTATACCGTGTAAGTTTTTGTGGATGTTTTGGCATGACCGTGTCCGTGTGGCATATAGGCAAAGCCCGTCTGAGTTGTTGATATGTATTTGGAGTGCGTGTGTTCTAGATCAATTCAAGATGTTTAGTAAGCTCAATATGCGTACTCAATGACCATTTTAAGTGATTAGATGCATATATGACTTGTGTAGGTAGCATTGCAAGTAAAACCAGACAAGCCTACACATATTGAGGTGAGTTTCATGTACAATTGTATACGTTTTAATATTTCTAGTTATGTCATGAGATTTCAAATATATTGCTGTATTTTCATATATGTCAGGGTTTACACAAATTAATATGCATACTATATATGTGTTTCAAAGTTTCTCAGTGCATGGTAAATGTTTACGGTACAAGTCACCTGCACACCACCAGGTCCTGTATTTATCATTTATCACATGTGATAAAAGGGTTTTCTCACGTTTGAACCTCCAGCATGTTATATTTATGATTCTTTGTTCATACGTATGTTTCATGCATCACAAATCTGTTGTCAGGATGCTTAGACTTGCACTATAGGATGATGGTATTAGATGGGAACCTTACAATAAGCACCATAGGATGATGGTTTTGCATGGAACCTCCATTTTCTTTCATTCCACCAGGCACCTTAACCACTCATTTTCTCACCCTGCTGAGTGGAAGAAAAAAAATACTCTTGGTTCATGAGTCTATCATGACCATTGTTGAGTGCCTGCCAGGTCCAAGGGTTTTTCAAATAGGTAAGAGTATACTATATGTTTTCTATCTCTTGCATATGGATTGAGAAACAATAACTGGCCGTTTACCAAATGCTTACAGAGTAAGCACTCATCGGCAAGAGTCCCGCCCCTCACTTATCTTGTCGGGTAACATTCTCAAATATCAGAATGGATTGTTTGTAAGCGTCTCTTACATAGTAAGCGCGAATCAGGTAAGAGTTTTGTCCTCACTTACCGGGTTAGAACATTGGTTGTTGCCATGCCTCTTACCGGGTAAGATTCTGAGTCCTTGTCATGCTTACCCAATAAAGCGAGTGACCCAGTAAGCATTTGGCAAACGGCTCCAAGCCTCTCTTGTGTGGCATCTATGGTGGTATTCGGAGTAAATTCATTTTTTTGGGTTTAAGGTTATGATCAATCACTTTTTGAGTCATTTATCCGTTCCTTGTGCAACTATGTTATTAAGAAGACGGATGAGATTAAGAGGGTTGCTAAGGCCCATCGTTGAAGAAGATTTAATGTTAGGGCACTTGGTTTTGGTTTATATGTTTTCGTATTTTACGAAAAACACATAGTTATAAGAACCTATTGGTTATTTTGCCACAGATTTTGAGTTACAAATCTGTATTTCATCTCGATTATGTTTTGTGTTTCAGATACTGCAAAACAGGAAAAGCAAGAAGAAAGTTATTTGAGTTTATTAGCAAGATATTTCCTCGAGTTAACAAAGACATATTTATTAGTAGAAATTATCTGAATTGATTCCTTGTTCATAAGAAAATTTTACATCCCGTTGTAGACACACAACTAATAACTATGGAAATGGGCAGATGTAATTCCCCTCTTCTCAGCTGAAGTGTATTTATATTTAAGTTGACTTTATGTTGGAATTTACATGTTTAATTACAATATTTCAGTTTCTATTTAATTCGATCCCAGATGTTATAAATATTCCGGTCTTTCTCACTATTAAATATTATTAAGTTGTTTAAGTTATTATCCAATGTTTTTCATAATGTTTAGTGTACTTAATGGCCTTAGGAAAGTAGGATGTGACATGAAGGGCGTTTTGTATCCCTATCGTGATACGCTTGTTGTCCAAATGTCAGAACGATAGTCTTCTTGTGTCATCATCTCCATCATTCGACTCTGAAAGATATCTTCGTTATAAACTCAATCGTGATTGCTGGGGCCAACTTGTGTTTGATCTGATTATACACCGCCTCATTGCATTGGTTCAAGGTTTCGTCACTTGTCATTTCAATTTGCAACTTTCTTGTACTATTAGTGGATGGCCAAGTATTCTACAGTGTGCTTTTTGTTTCCGTCAACAACTTCGTGATTATAGTTTCTTAAGCAGTTGCTTTACGGTTATGGTTGACAATAAATTCATAATTTACGATTGATGGGTTAAAAGACGAACGAGCTAGCACCAAGTGGCGGAACCACTTAAGCGTCAGAAGGGCATGGGCATACCTTGTTTTATTTTTAAATAAAAAATAACATAGAACCATCCTAAAAATTTACCCACTTTTTCCTAACGTCTAAAATTTTACCCATACGGTAAATTCATGATTACCGCTTCCTACGTCTATCCCCCCCTCCCCCCCGCCCCTTGCATGCCAACAATCAGGCGGTTATTTTTTCATGTCACACTAATAAACTTAAATACTCAAATACCAAATAAAACCAAAATATAATGATGTTCATAGTTGTAAGTAAAGTCGTGTTGAAAACCAATGTAGCCGATCTTTCCGCTGACCCTGTTCTATGCAGAACGATTTTAGATTACAATTATAATATTCGGGATGAAGTTCGTAGAGCATATCTTTTGAAAGCCCCTTGCCAACCTTGAAGCCATGATTTTCCTTGCACTGCATTTGGGAAAAAATCACGAAGATTTAACCTTGCTTGATTTGACGAATTTTCTACTTGGCTAGAGTACAGTGTAAGTGAAAATGCAACTTACTGTTTATGTTGCTATCTTTTTAAACTAAGTATTGGAGATCAAGCAGGCAGTGAGTCTTTTGTTGGTTTAAGATTCACAAACTGTAATAGTGCTCACAATGATATTACTAAGCATTTGCTTATAAAACTAGCAATGATATTATGTGTTGCGACTGCAACAGTTGAGAGGACATTTTTAACTATGAACATTGTGAACAATAGACCGCATGTTAAAATGGGAGATCAATGTATGAACGATTGCTCGGTTATTTATATTGAAAAAGATGTTTTTACTAAGGTTGATAACGAATATATCATATATAGGTTTTAGAAAATGAAAACTCGACTAGTCACTGTTGAATATGTAAAGGTCCGTATATCATGAAATATAATATCATTGTTTTTGTCTTTATATTTTAATTGGTCCTTCTCCTCATGTAAATTAAAGGCTCCACCCCTCGTAGCACCTTGATGTGATGTCATTATTGAGAACTAGAAGTCTACCCGCACAATGCAGTGGGATTTTGGAATTTAGAACTTGAAACCTTTATCATGATTCCTACTTTGTTCTGTTGATTGTCTTTCTCGACTTAAATATATGGTTTTGAGAAAACTATAGATGAGTTGGTTATTATTTTATCTTAAAATACATATCGATATGAATTTCAAAACTAAAAATTATATAACTTTTATTATAATTTTGATTTCGAATAAAATGTATTACTTTGATTTAGATCTCAAATTTCGTTTAATTTAAATGATAATTATATTTAACACATTTTTATATTTTAAATTAATAAGATAATATACTTTAACGAAAAATAAAAATTAGGCATCATATCTCGTATTGTTCATTGTGTTTATCAGTTAGTTATATTAAGAATTTTAATTTTTTGAATATTTTAGAAAATAAAAATAAGTTTTGGTGTTTTAGAGTTTATCTAATATTTATTATGTTTATCTATGGTTAGTTACACGAATTCAAATATGAAGTTTTAATAAATTATATTTATGATTAATCAACTTATAATCTTGAACTTTAAGTAATATTCATTAATAAGTGATACTTAATGCTCCTGTGTTTAGGAACTACTACAAGAGTACTCGCGCAATGCAGCGAGACACATCTCAATTTTAATGTTCTATTTTATTATTTGTCTTTGTCGATGTTATAATACGATTTTTTTGTGTTTTTAAGAAAAAACACAATGATTTTATTTTTTGAATAAAATATAAATTTGAAGGTATCATAAAAATTTGATAAAATATAT